TGTGGTGTGTGTAAACGCTTGGTTCCCAGCATTTTCTTGCATCCTTATATCCTGGTTCGCCAGCCCTGTACCACGGGTCAGGTGCATTTGTTTCACTTCAAATGCTTGTGGTAGGTGTGTGTGTCTGTCTGTCTGTGTGTGTGGTGTGTGTTGTGTGGTTGCGAGTGTATATATGTTGGTGTGGTGTGTTGTGTGTGTGTGTGTGGTTGGTGTGTGTTGTGTGTGGGTGTGTGGTGTGGGTGGTGGTGTGTGTGGTTGTTGTGTGTGTGTGGTTGGGTGTGTGTGATGTGTGGGTGTCTGAAATGCAACTTCCCAATATTATCACTTTTCTTTGATTTCCCAACTTTGAATAATTGTTTTAGGTACAGTGTTACTTGCAGCTAATTGATTGATTGTTTTAAGGGTATTCTGTGTTGAGATGGTGCAAATATTATTTTAATACATACCTAATATATTTCTAATACATTTCCCTTTGTGGTTGTTCTTTCCACATAACTAAGACTATAGAAGTGTAAAAAAATAGGCTAAGTCAGTATTATTCCAAGGGACATACATGTCAAGTCAAGTCCAATTGTTTATTTATATAGCCCAAAATCACAAAATCAGAATGAGGGGGTCCTTGGTGATTCCTCTTTATCTTGTAAGGGGTCCTTGGCTGAAAACAATTGCAGACCATCAACGCGCTCTCTAGACCACATATCATCCAACAGTTTATCCGGTTTCCTTTGGACAATCAACAACTACACAGGATCAAAGCCAACTTCATGGCAATTGCAGGTATGCCCGGTGCGGTCGGTGCTATTGACGGGACGCACATAAAAATAATTGCGCCATCAAAAGATGAGGACGTGTTCGTCAATAGAAAGAAAGTACATTCCATCAACACGCAGATTGTTTTCATTCATCATGATAGGGGGACTTGAACGGCGGTATGGGCTGTTATTGAAAGTGTTTAAGTGCTAGAAATATGCTCATTGGATAATAGTTTGCAGGGTGCTTTTAATTGCCTCCTTGATTTAATGCAATTTACGTATTTTCATTGTTTGCTCTCTCTCTTTAACGTGCATATACAACGTCATTATCGTGGTCTGCACAAACTTGTCATCATGCGTGTATTCTGCTAACTGCACTGTCCATAACTATTTGATAGGAATACATTTCTAGCCTAGGCTATTTCCTTGTTTTTCGGTGATTTAGTGGGCTCGTTTGTGGGATGTTGCGGATGAGTTTCACCGAGACCGCCTGCTCTGAACAACCAATCACCGTACTGACCGCTTCTAAACTCATGCACGAGAATCGACGTCATCCATAGCAACGGCGCGTCACTCTTAGTTCACTCTTTGTGATTTATCCTTAGTATGAGTAGGTCTCAGCGGCTTTGTGAATAACTTTTAAGAAAAAACTCCTACGTAAAATGTTTTAGCGCGAGTTAGGAGCACTCCTAGCGGTAAGATAAAATGCTTTGTGAATACGGCCCCTGATGATTTGTAAATGATTGATTTTGTGTGAATAAATCTGTGCCAGACTTGGCTGAAAGACAAACTCGGTTGGGACGTACCTCAAAACTAAATCTTTAAAAAAGGACTTCATCAATCAATCAATCAATAACCAATTGGTACGGTTTTTCTTTTTCTGTTGACCAAAAGGTGAAACTAGCATCTTCAGCAGCGTCCCCCTGGGCTTCTACATCATCGGCAGCATTCTGATGTTAGTCGGTGCCAAATACCTCGCAGGTCAGTGTGTGCATGAAGCATTCTCTGTGTTCTCTGTGCACAGGTGTTACATGTGGTGAATACAGTTGAAAACGAGTAAAAGATCTTAATTAAAATCTTCTTCATGCTTTTTTTTCCTCAGGTAACAACTAAGCTCCTGGGGGCTATTAAGCAAAGCGGAACCATCTGGACCACCACCTGTACTCTCGGGTGCTTTCTTTTCCCAAAAAGGCACTACAGGAAGATGGCTATAGTTTGGAATAACTAACTGAACTTTATTATTTCCCCCCAATAATTTTTTCTGGAAATGTGTTTTTATCTACAGCACACATGGGTGCATTGGAGATTAATTTAAGCGGGAGTGTGCATGCAGTATTCTCTTTTTTTCACTCTGTTGACCTGGTATGAATTTCTGAAATTATTTATGTAGAAACTCCACCGTAAGGTACTTCAGGTTGTCGTCAAAGAGAAACTCAATGTGTCATACGCTATTTCTTTGTTGTGGCAGAGCACTTTATTTTATTTGTTTTTGTTAGGTGTGAACTAACAGAGTGTAAGTTATTATTTTTCTATCAGTTGGTATTGAAATGAAAACAAAGGTGAGCGGGTGAAATGACAAGGTTTCTCTTTGGGAAAAAGTGACTTTTCTGTACATACTGTAATCATTTTAAACAGGAAAAATGTGTTGTGTAATGGGCAAACATGCCATGGAGGGCAAAAGCTAATTCTTTTTTTGATATGTGTTGGAAAAGAATTTATGAAGACATGGAAACAGAGTGTATATTTCTGTCAATTGCTTCCAAAACCAATTGCACTAAGATTAGTGCCACATGTGCAATTCTGTTTGGATTGCATTTTCGCCTAAATAATGTATTTCAATTTAAAAGGAGATTTTTTTAAATCATAGACACTTAAATTCTAGGCCTCTTAGTCATAGTTTGAAGAGTTAATCTTTAAGAGGCGGAGGCGTCTATTAATCTGTTGCCCAGCCTTCATCATGTTTGTCTTCTCTTGGGATCTGAGTTGTACTTGATAGTACTTGCTCCATACTTCATGTGGTTATTTGCATAACTGAAAAGTGTAACTAAAACTGCACACAAAGTGCTCTTTTGGATATAAACACAATTGAAATCACTTCAAATTAGAGATGTATGAAACCAAGACCTTTTAACTGTGAAACTGTTGATTGTGATGATGAATTGTTACATATGGAACAATGAAAATGTGTGTGCACAGTTGGCCAGTGTCATTCCCTTCAACTCATTCACAGAACTGTAAAGGAAATAAAAGTACTGCTGGGTTAGAAGAAATGAAACGATGTGTGGTTCTGTAGAGAAACAGGTTTTATGGAAGAGTAATTGTCACGAAAATATGAATATTGTGCAAATTGAATTAAAAACAAAAGATATGACACCCATGTCTATAATGCATTACGCTCTGCTTGTAGCGGTACATCATTATAGCAACAAGTCCTGATACGTATTCATAATGAATTGTAACTAATGAAACATTTTATAAAGTCTCATTTCATAATATATTTTAGATTCTGTTCAATTGAAATACAATGTGCTTTCTTTATGGAAAATAGTTTTAAGTAATCACCTTTTAATGCATTTATTATAACACATTGTAATATATATATATATATATATATATATATATACTACATAAAAAGGAACAAAGGTGAGTGAGTAGCCAGCTATTAGGAAATATTATAGCATAAACAAAGTCATAAAACTTGTGTGTGACAGAACTTGGGAAGGCTTCCAATTTCTGCTAATCCGTTCTCACTTCTTTAATAACAGAAGTTTTCTGTCTATGCCAACACAACAAGCTGGTGTTTTTTTTGGACTGCAGCCAGGCCTAACCTGCTTTTCTTGAGGGTTATATATGGTCAACACTCCGGAGCTGACAAAAGGGGAGTGGTTAGTGCCAACAACACATGCATGTAAGTCAACTCGTGCTCTTTCACTAGTATTCCACCTCTACAACACGGAGGCTTCAGCCTGCGGGTCCTCACTCTGTAGAACTTGAGAAGTAAGTGTTACCACTAATTTACTCTGTTTGCTTTTAAATGTCACTTGTCATTATAAAAAGCATTGTTTGTGTGCTTTATGGAAAACTAGCAGAGAAATGTTGTTTAAAAATATAAAACTATTGCTTTCACTTTGCTAAAAGAACGTTTCTATCTGATCTGCAGTTGAGTTACTCATTGACTTATAAAGGCCGTATTGTACCGTGGTTGTGCAACACATTGAGCTCTTTTGCATAATAACTGAACCTGTATGCCCTGTTTTTCCGCTGAATAAATGGACTTTAAACTCGCATGAGGTTTTTAATATTGTGATTAATATGCACATACTTTTTGTAGAGCAGAATTAAATTTATATTCTTAAAAAAAAAGCACATCCTCATTTGAGCATCAGCTTACAATTAAATGGGAAAACGTACTTTTTGTCAAATGATACAACTGAATTTACCCTTTTTTTATTCTCCATGGTTTATTTTTTAATTGTTTATGACATTTATTTTGAAATTAAGTTGACTCACCTTTGGAACCTGTGAAACCAGGAAGTAGATCCAGGTGTTTCGCAGCGGGTTGTTCCTCAATCTGTTGTTGAGTCAGTCTTTTTTTTATTTTATTATCACTCGATGTGTTTGACACTTCTGCTGACAGACACACTTTGCTTTCCAGGTTTATTGGACAAGGGAAAAGTCCAGTAAAAAAAACTCCTTACAAATGTTGGATCCGAGAAGGAGCGAGTTTCTACCAATGGGGGCCAACTTCAACCAGAATCAAGGTCAGATTAAATTATAAAATCCATGAAAGAATGAAAACCACACACATACTTATTTTATCTGCTTGTTCCTGAACATTTGATGCATTGTGTTGAGTACGCAAGGGAATGAGGAAGTCTTTGTGTTGTGTTAGTCCCACTCGACATTAGAGAACACTTCACACTTGACTTTAACCTTCTGGTGAAAGACGTTTTTTTAGACCCAAAAGTAAACACGTGAAGGCCTGCGTTTAAAACGATAAGCCACATTTTTACTACACACTTTCTACCTTTGATTAACTCTGTATTTGAACAGGATACGTTTAAGTTACATGTATTGTACTTTAAAATATTTTGCTACTTATCACTAGCAGATACATTTCATATACAACAGACTTACGTTTTTCCCTGTTTGTATCCTCTATAAAGGTCCCTGTATACCTTTGATTAGTTTATCTATTTTCTAGGTCTGGTCATTTAGAGTTTTCTCTTCTGTGTTTGTGTATCATCTGCAAAAACTAGATGATACAAACTAATATTATATATTACCTGACTTTTTTAAACCTGTTTTTAAATCATACACACATAAGAGAAAACTATTTACATCAGACTTAGAAAGGGATTACCTGATTTTTTTTCTCGTTTGCCTTTCAGGGCTTCCCTATACTTAATTACACTAACAGGGACAATTTCATTTGCTGGAATTTTAATAAACAATTTCTTCAGCACTTTGACTTGAGCAAACTATCTGTCTCACCCATGTTTGTTTGCCCAATACATTGAATGCATGTATGCTTTTGAGGATTGTTAAACAGGCCTTTTCTTTCTCTCAGGCTTCCTTATCGCTGGTCCCAAGCCACCAGAATACGCCCACGCCATGCACAAGAAGACTGTGAAGGAATTGCTCATGATGAGGCGCTTTGTAAGTCACAGCAACATGAAAAGACATGTTTAAGATAGCTTTAAAGCAAGTGTTAATGTAGGGTTTGTTTTTTTCCCAGGATATGTTGCAATCAACTTAATTAATTGTGTTTTATCAAATGTTACATGTTATTTCTTCTAGTTTTGATTATGAGGAAGTTCCTTCAGTATGAGGAAGAGCATAAGCATTCCTCCACAAGGGAAAGTTGTTAGTATACAAATGCAGGCAGTGGCAAAAGTGTCTTCAGTATGAGGAAGAGGATAAGCATTCCTCCACAAGTGAAAGTTGTTAGTATACAAATACAGGCAGTGGCAAATGTGTCTTCAAAATCCCCTAAAATACATTATACGCTTCTCTTTAAGAAACAGAACTGCCTGCAGGACGAAAACAACTTCATGCATGAATTGAAAACTGCAAAGTCTGAAGCAATTGACGTCGACGTGAGCCCTCAGCTGTTCGGCCCTCCAGGACACCCCCATATAAGTAATGGTTTTCCTGAAAATGGCCACACTTCCCCTCAACAACTGCAACATCCCACTCCTGCTGATGGAGGGAAGCTCACTTTATTTCACTGGCAGATCCAGCAGCAGGTGCAGAGGCTCGGGGGGGTTTCTCCTGAGCTGCTCAGCATGCAGGACGCCGATGGAGACACGTAAGTATTGATGAAATGGCTCAAATGTGTGCATATTCAAAAACATATCCTACATGGCTTCGTTCTCTAAGGAATATTTTTATTTTGGCTAGTCATATCGTAAAGTACTATTAAAAGAACAAAGTTTGGATTTTTAGGAGAATTAAAAATATGAAGAAATGATTGACTTGAACATTTTTTTATATTGGATTAATAAAGTCATGAATTAATGAGAGTAGTCAGAAAAAAAGTTGTAATATTATGATGATAAGTTATTAATAATAAAATAATATTTAAAGAATAGCTGTTCAATTATTTAATTTGTGATTCAATTATAATGAAGTCATGATATCAATAGAATAAAGTTGTAATTTATTATTTCCCAAAGGTATTTTGTTGACCTTTGGCATTCAAGTCACTATTCTATCCCAATAAATATTATAATTCTGCATTGACACAAATCCTAAACAAATTAACCTTAACATTATGGGTGTGCATGTGAATTTATTTTTGATAGCTCTTTTTTCTTTCCCAACGGCCAGAGTCCTTCACATAGCAGTAGCACAAGGGAGGCGAGCTCTGGCTTATGTGATCGCTGCCAAAATGTCTCAATGTGGCTCTCTGGACATCAAAGAACACAATGGGCAGGTACAAACACTGAAGTAGCTTATCTGTGTTCACCACACATCAAATGCAGATGAGTAAAGCGATGATCTTTGTTAACAGACGGCTCTTCAGATAGCAGCTGCCACAAACCAGCAGCTCATAGTCCAGGACCTGCTGGTGCACGGGGCTCAGATCAACACCAGGGACCTGTGGGGCCGCTCCCCTCTGCATCTGTGTGCAGAGAAAGGACATGTTCTCAGCCTGCAGGTATGAAATAACTGAAAATGCATAACATTGTTGCAGCATCTCGATGCAATTAATAATAACAGTTTTCATTTCAAATTCATAACGTTTTATCCCTTGTGCACCCATTCAAATGCTTAAAGCTACTTTTCTGACCTATTTTCAACACATGTATTTCCACAGAGCATCTGCAGGACCCTAAAGGTGACTGGTCAGCAGGTGGATATTGAAATGTTCAACTATGATGGTGAGTATGTTTTATTGAAGTTAAAAGCTGGTTTGTAGGAAGTATCCTTGTGATTTAATCCTGCTGTTCTCTGTTTTCAGGTTTAACTCCATTGCATGCAGCTGTCTTGTCTCACAACGCTGTGGTTAAAGAGCTGAGGACTCTGGGAAATCTGTGCTCATATATGGCAAAGGAGCTGGCGCAGAGGGCACACATGTACGTCAAGTGTATCAAGACTCTCCTGCTTACGGGAGCCTCCAGTGGGACGAAGGTAACTATTCAAATCATTTGACTTTGGTACATGTCACACACTTGTCGCGTCACTTTGAGGCTTGCATTGTTTTGTGCAGGATCAAAAAAGTGGAAGGACGTGTCTTCACATGGCTGCCGAGGAGGCAAACGTGGAGCTGTTCAACATTTTCCTGGACCAGCCGCAGTCAGCTCTAAATGCTAAGGTTAGTCATTGTATTTGCAATCAAAGGGAAACTCACTCTCACACACACACACACACACACACACACACACACACACACACACACACACACACACACACACACACACACACACACACACACACACACACACACACACACGC